GGGGGGGGGGGTCACCCCCTTTTGCCCCTGCTCCTTAGCCTCCTTATGTATTGTAATTTTTGAAGTTTAATGTTTGGGTTTTCCCTTAGCTTGTCATTTTGAACAGGGTTGAGCTTTTCCCCCCAGTGCTTCTTTAAGACAAATTTGAAACTGTCTTATTGACAGTAGTGATTTTTTTTCTTGATCAGATGTTTTCCACATTCTGTAGGTGGTGTTACGGTGCTTGTAAATTAAATAGCAAATATGGATCAGTTGCTTTAAATTTAAAGGAACCTATCTCAGACTTTGGAATGAAACATTGACATTTTAATAACAAGATGCATAGGAAACCTGTAAAGTCTTACTGAATTTTTTGGGATTAGCATATTGGCTGAACCTAATCTTAAAGTTACTTAGTTCTGTTGGATACTGATAGTCAGTTGCCATTCCTGTTGCGATGGATGGAGGTCTTGCCTTGAACATCTTAAATATTAAGAGCAGAGGGTTTGGGCATATATAGAAATCGATTTCCCAGTTTGTTTGCCCACACTTCACAAGGAAATTCCAGGATATGGTTGAATTGGGGTGCATCATATTGTATAGGTTCCCTGTTTTGTTACACCTCTTGCTATTGGGTTGCCCAGGCTCATTGGTCTCATCCACTTCAGACTGTAATATTTTGGGTGGGCGTATTAACAGTAGGTTATGTTATGTTGCCGTTATATTTGTTGATCTGTGTAGGTTTGATTTAGACAGAGGTGAGCATGTTCAAGATCTGGCTTGTGGATTGATGTTGCTGGGGTATGAGGAGGAGTGCAACTTTCTCCTCGTGGAGCCGTCGTCTTCATTTAGAAGTCAGCTCTTGCCCCAGGTCCTTCCATGGAGGAGTGTAATTTATTAAATTGGCCTAAAATGATGCACAACAGCTGATTTATTTTTTTTCAGATGTCACCAAGAGAGCACTACTGTAAAGCTCATGGATCTTTCTGATAGTGCCTTGTTGGGATTTTATCCACAGTCATAAATATGCTGTTTTTAATGGTCCTTTTTTTATATGCTGTATCTTCTTGGGTTTTTCTGGTCTCCAGGTGATATTTTCCTGTGGCTGTTGAAACGCCAGACAGAGACCAGCTGTTACAATGATGATGCTCCTGATATTTTGGTATCATTTCTGTTATGAAGAGCTTTATGGATCTTATTTTGTGACTGGTTAGGAGAGAGATTTTATTTCTATCAAGTACTAAATGTTTTACAGGTGGTTAGTCTTATACATCCTGTCTACCATGCTGTTAGATTGCATTGCTATCGATATTCTTAGAGAGAGAACTTTTTTGGAGGAGAAATCTGGTACCTCAGCTATATTGAAATTTCAGGTGGCTCAGTACACTGAAGAGCTGAATTGTCCTTGGGGGAGAGCATCAGGCTATTCCCAAAAATTTTACTAACATTACTTGCGGTTATAGAAGTATAGGGAGTTGTTTGCTTGGTAGCACTAGAGACTTCTACCTTAATAAGATGGCAATCTCTTTATGTTGACTCTTACTAAATGCTGACCTCACAATAACCTGCTTCTTGGCAAAGTGGTGGAGGCACAGCATCTACTTCCTTGATTCTTTGTAGTTGGACTTAAAACCAGGTAAACTACAGAGACAGTATAGTTGTGAAACAGATGGAGTCCCTGCCCTGCAGATGTTATAATACAAAATAGGAACAGGTGGCATGAACAGAGCTAAGGAGAAGCTGAAAAGGTTGGGGGTGGGAAGGAAGGATGTGGGTCAATACAGTAAGATTTTGTTGTCAT